GAGAAGGCTGCGGGATTGGACACATCTAGTGCTTGAGCTTCGGAAGTCCTTCGCCCACCCTGAACTGGATTCCTTAGTGCGTGCTCGGGTATATCAGAGACGTCAGCAGCGTAACGAGACCTTCCAGGACTTCTACTACGACGTGGAAAGTATGTTCCGCTCTATGATCCACCCCATGTCAGAGGGAGAACAGTTAGATATCCTCCGAAGAAACATGAGGTCTGATTATAAGAAAGCCTTGCTGTGGAAACTCACAGGCAATCTCTCGGAGTTGCTAGATGCTGGTCATCAAATTGACGCTTCGAACTTTTCACTATTCGCGAAAGTATTCGGAACCGAAAGGTCGACCAATGCTGTTTCTTTTGACAACAAAAAACCGAGAAGGAAACAAAAACCCTAATCATCCACCATTTAGCCAGCGACCCCAGGATAAATTCCGTCCCAAAAACACGGAAGTTAACCAGAAGAAGAAGGTGGAAGACACAAAAAAGGAATAAAGGGTGATACGGTCAAAATTTGGTCAATATCAACTTGACGTATTTCTTTCAATTTTGCATTTAAAAAACCTGAACACCCCTCATTTTGAAGGTGTGTGTGTGTGTAGAATGTTGCTCCTATTTTGATTTTGGAATTCACTCTTCAGTTGTCAAAATGCCGTCCAAGCAAGAAGAGCAGCGTATCAAAATTTTGCTCGCGCATCGCGAAAATCCGAGCTACTCGCACGCAAAGTTGGCAAAATCGCTAAAAGTTGCCAAATAAACCGTTACAAATGTAATATAAGAAACCCATGGATTCCAACCGGATCCCAGAAGAGAATCCTCAAGAAGGAACCTCCAGGCCAATACGAACGTTGGAGATGTTGATAGCCTCGCACAAACCCCCTCACCGTTATGAATGTTTGTACTGCCGACAAAACAACCATGCTTTAGAGCAATGCCGAAACCGGAAAGGAGTATTGTGTCTAGTTTGCGGTTTCAAGGGGTTCGAAAGCCAAAATTGCCCGTTTTGCCAAAAAAAAAAAACGGGCGTCGGATGGTCGGCAATCGTCGACCGTCGGATCAATCCGCGTAAATACTTATCCGGAGGGCATCACCACTTCAGATTTGTGGGAGCCTGTTGCTGACGAGCTATACGACACAAATTCCCAGCAGACTCTTATCTCGGAACCACGACAATCGCCCTTATGCTACCATTAAAATCTAAGGCCATCCTGCTAAAGGTCTTTTGGATTCTGGTAGTCAGCTAACACTCATTAGTGAAGACATTTATAAGAAACAATGCAACAAAATTCAACCGGTGACCAGCCCAATCAAGGTTTGCTCTGCTAATGGATCAGAACTTATGGTGCTTGGACAGTTATTCATTCCGTTCAATTTTCAGGGTACGCTGAAAATCATCCTTACACTGGTAGTTCGACAGTTGTCGGTAAATTGCATCCTAGGAATTGACTTCTGGCGTCGATTTCGTATTTGGCCCACGGTGCAAAATTGTTCGCTGGTTACATCATGTGATTCACCGAGAGAGAACCATCCGTCTGCTACTCTTACGGATTCTGAGAAAAGACAAATCGACGAAATTAAAGGTTTTTTTTAGGGTTGCTCAGCCCGATACGCTTGCCGAACATCGAATAGAAATTGCCGAAGAATGGAAAGGTAAACCTCCAGTGAGGCAATATCCCTATACACTGACTGTCACAAAAAGTTCAGGAGAAAGTCGCTACCGAGTTAGGACGGATGTTGAACCTAGGTATCATAGAGCGAGCCAACTCAGACTGGTCATCCAACGTAGTCCCTGTTATAAAATCGACGGGTAAGGTTCGCCTCTGTTTAGATGCCCGTAAGATTAACGAACGAACCGTACGTGATTCCTACCCCTTGCCTCATCCTGGACGAATATTAGCTCACCTCCCTATAGCGAGATATTTGAGCACCATAGATCTCTCCGAAGCATTCCTCCAAATTCCTTTGGAAAAACGCTCTCGGAGGTACACCGCTTTCAGTGTCCAGGGCAAGGGGATGTTCCAATTCACCAGGTTGCCATTCGGGTTGGTAAATAGCCCGGCATCCTTAGCCCGACAGATGGATCGAGTCCTGGGGCATGGTGAATTGGAACCGAACGTCTTCGTATACCTTGACGATATAGTCATCGTATCGGAGACGTTCGAGGAGCACGTACGGTTACTTCGTGAAATCTGTAGGCGTCTATCAGAGGCAAATCTATCTATAAACATCGAGAAGTCGAAGTTTGACGTTAATGAGTTGCCATTCCTAGGTTACCTGCTCTCGACGGAAGGCCTACGGGCGAATCCAGAGAAAGTTAGAGCGATTGTGGAGTACGAAAGGCCCACTACCATAACCAAACTGCGTCGTTTCCTAGAGATGGCTAACTATTATCGTCGCTTTATTGATGATTTCAGCGGTATAACTTCTCCCCTGTTCGATCTTCTGACAACTAAATCCAAAGTGATTGGATGGAATAAGGCGGCAGAGGAGGCATTTTGTAGGATCAAAGAGAAGTTAATCTCGGCTCCCATACTCGCTCCACCAGACTTTTCGGAAGAGTTCACCATCCAGACGGACGCCAGCGATGTAGCGGTGGCTGGGGTGCTCACCCAAATCCATGGAGGTCAAGAAAGGGTCGTCGCCTACTTCTCACACAAAATGACTACCCCACAAAGGAATTATCATGCGTGTGAGAAGGAGGCGTTGGCGGCTCTCTTGTCGATTGAGGCATTTAGGGGATACATAGAAGGGTCACATTTCACCCTTCTAACGGACTCATCAGCATTAACACATATCATGACCACCAAATGGAAAACGGCTACAAGGTGTAGCAGATTTAACGAAGTTCAAAAGCTCCGTGTGATGAGCATGGAAATCGGAAGTGGTTATCACAATAGGGGGGACCTTTTCCTTTTTGGCATTAAGCCGGGGATGTTGAATGGAATTTTGCCTGGATGATGGATCATTCTCATCTTCCGTGAGCATACCAAATTGATTGCTCAAATTAATTTCATCAGAAGGGGGATCAAGGGATTGCTCTTTTCTTTTGCGCTTAGGCGCCATGGCGGCAGAAGAAAGTTTCTTCAAATCGACTTCCAAACGGAATGCTGTGAGAATCCGAAGGATCGAAGAGGAGTTTTCAAATCGATATCCAAGCAGGATTGCCTAGGGTAGAATATAACAAGGTAGACAATTTTCAGGTAACATTTAGCACTGAAAAGTGCCGTTTAAATTTGTTATAGCTTCAGGTAGCAGTAACAGTTCCTTCAGCAAAAAGGAAATAGATCGCTCGGCAAGAGAGCACGACGTGGACTGATCTTATGTGTTGATATCCAACGTTTAACATTTCAAATATGTCTGCAAATTTTCTTAGATGAGTTATTCTTTTCTTAATCGAACCCGAGTAGAGGTAAATAGTGAAATCATAGCAAAATACTCAATAATATAGCAATAACTTATTTCACTATTAGATCATAGAGTCAAACACTTATTTTACAAGTACAAAATATCATTAGAATTAATGATCTTTGATCTAATGATTTCATAATTTAAAAATCAAAAAAACATTTTTGAATGGCAAGTGAGTGGAAGCAACCCTGGTTCAGGATATTGAAAATTTCATTAATCTTAACAGCATCAAATTAGTTAAGCATGGAAATTATCTCGGCTTCCCAACGAATGAAGGAAAACGCAAAAGTGTTCTCCAGTGAAAACCGCGATTCAAAGGTGGCGCATGGTCCTTCGTTCCGTACAGACTCGCCGAGACACTACAACTAATCTGCTGCTGCCACATTCAATGGAGTCAGACAATTACCTCAAACAACAGTTCCAAGCACTTCATGAAATGTGGCGAGAGTCGCAAAGCAAAGCTCCCCGGGACAGTCGGAAATGAAAACATAGCAATTAAATAAAGCCCTTCTAATGCTGCTGCTGCTGCCGCCGCTTGTCTTCCTTCCGTGCTCACTTATGGACGGTGATCCAATTCGCGCAACACCCCCCAACAATGAAACATTCTGCGTTGGATTATCGGGAATCCAAATAAATTATTCATCCCACTATCACCGAAGGCGGTTTACCTCCTGGCAATTGTTTGAATTTTCACCGGCCATTAAAGCGACCTATCCATTGCGTTCGTCGTACGTCTTCGTCGCCGTCGTCGTCGTCGTCGTCGTCGTCGTCGTCGTCGTCGTTGATTGATGATCGCTCCGCCTGTTTGGCTGCTACAAATATCCAAACATTTCGCTCCGCGCGCGCTTAGAGCGCGACTCTAAATCATCCTCAAACCCCTGGTATTTAGCTCTAGAGCAAGAATGTGTATCTCTAGTAGCTAGTGATTTTTTTTTTTGTTGTTGCTGTTGTTGGTATAGTTACTTGTGATGCTGCCTTTGGCAGCTGGTACTGCTGCTGCTTATTCTTGGTTCCTTCTCGCTCTCGTTCATGGGGACACACTGCGCTCTGTGATACATATGCATCAGTATGAGATTATTGATTGCAGTTTTTGCCACTGGCAAAATAGCATAAGAAATTGTTCGGCTCGCTCCCTCAACCCCTTTGGTTTCCTTTGGATCAAGTTAGGTTATTTGCTCACTACTCACTGCTTTAACGCTCTCTCTCTCTCTTTCTGGTTCTTTCTCGCCACTGAAGCCAGATCCGACTGTATGTGTAATTGAAGCCTGTCAGCCTGGAGGCTGCGATTTCCTCGTCCTTAGACTACACAGATTTCCAACTATGAAAACCAAACGGACCTTTCGCATCCAACGTCGGTCCTCCGTCTACGTGTACGCCCCAGCACAAGTAGGCTATGAAGGACCTCTCATCCCAACCCCTCTCACTGCTCGTGCAACAAAAACGCACTCTTTCTCTCTGCATGCTGCTGCAGCTCTGCGCTCACACTCCTGCTTTTTTGCCGTGTGCATCCTTCAGATGTTTCCGAAATCCTCTTCCGCTTCTCCACCCCCTTGAAATTCATTCACTTTCCCAGCGCACTCTTACACTCACCGTTGCGGGTGAAAATTTTCCTTGCTTTTGGAGAAAATTCCTCTAATCAGCACCTGATCATCACTTCACCACGGCACACTTGGATTGATTCGTAATTTTCCGTTTGCTCTTCTCCTCCTCTTCCTTCTCAATCACTTACGACCACTCTGTTGATTACGGTGCTGGGGTTTTCGCGACCAGCTCGCGCAAAAAAATCATCATCATCATCCTCTCCACTTGACAAAAGTGTTCTTTTCTTAGACACAGACACGGCATCCCTTGCCGTAGTCGATCCGCCCGTCCGTGGCTGATGTTACGAACGAACGCGAGCAGCCAGGCCCGTATTCACCCAGCGAACGGAGACAATCGCACAGTCCAATGGTTTACCACCACACACACGCGCGACCCGCGGGCTATACGAAACGATTTTCCCGAAAACTCGAAGGACAGATAGTTTTTGATGATACTCCTCCAACGCCTACTACATTCCGGTCACTCACACACGTACATTTTCCACCCAAGTCATGAGAATAGAGCAATCAACTTTTTTTTTATTTCCTTCTCCAACTATTTTATTCGGACAACGGTCAGGCGTCGAATGACTTTCGCACGGAACCACGACTGCTCCCCGTCAGCGCTCGGACACTTCTGTCAAATCGGAGTGCTCTTGCAGTCTCCCACAGCATCCATCTCACCGAACGGGAGCGAAGAGTGGAAAAACTCTCGTGTGCGGAAAAACTCACCAGAGAGTCGAGAGCGAAAAAGGGACCGTTTTCGTGCGCTTCGAATGTGACAAATTTCACGGAAAACGGAACGAAACGGATGAAAGCATATACTGACAGAGAACCGTTAAAAGGAAAAAATATTAGATTTCCGTTCCGTCCGTCCGCCTCCCTTCGACCTTTACAGGCACTGACTCCTTTTCTGAATCTCAGCGCACGGAGTAAAGTAAAGTAGGCGGGAAGGAAATGCTTTTGCTGCTGTCAGGCTGACTGCTGATGCTGCTCATTGATGATGATGATGACGATGATGATGATGATGATGATCGGTCGGTGCGATTGGAGCACGGGATGAAGCGGGAAAAAGTTAAGCGCCCCGGTTGTCACTGTTGCCAAGAAAGTGAATGCCAAGTAAGCGTCGGTGAGTGCGACGCTGGGCTGTGAGTATGAACCGTAATGTGGGGTGACTGTGATATGCTAGTTTTATTATTGCTAAGGTTAGTTGAACTAAGTTAAAGAAGAGCAATGAATTTTTAAAAATGCCGCTTGTATATCGTTCCAATTCTTCTACCATTTGCTATTTGTATCCGGGAATGTAGGATAATAACGGCTCTGGTGCCAACGTAGATTGACCAAAAGGTGAATTTCTGGTGATTGAAGGTGTGGACCGCGTTGCCAGACCTACCGATAAATCCCACACAATTTTCCTGGACAATCTGCGTAATGGTGACCACTCACTCTACAGTTATAGCACAGACAAACAGACATAACACCTTGAATATTTCTCACTGAAAAACATCGTCGTTAATACATTACCGCCATCTGTTGAGTACACTGTGGTGGGTAGTACGCTGAACAGATGGCGGTAGTGTGTAAACTTCAAACACAAGGGAATTGACTATGCGCGCCACAAGTAGCGGTACTACCAACTACGATACTTTTAAATTGACCGTTAAATGCTAGTTCGATGAACAACTTGCGAGTGTTATGTCTGTTTGTCTGTGGTTATAGCATACTCATACGGGAGGACGTCTGTATTGATCAACTAGCGTCTTCATTGTGCCCTTTGACGATCCTTCCATGGGTCCTGTTGAACCTTCTTTCTTCTACTCATTTAGTTGTTTAACTTCCCCGTCTGCTGATTTATTGCTATTTTCTGTATTTTCGATTTTAGGTTTGCTTCTAGTAAAGACCCGAGAACTAACGTTAGAATTTTGTGACGAACCTTTGAACTTCGACAAATCCGTTGTAACAATTTCATTGACCAGACTACGACGATGTGCATTTTCGTGAGACTTGTGCAACATTCTCCAAAAATTTCACTGATTAAAAGTAAATTGGTACGCCCCTCGCGCGCCGCTTGCACTCCTCTACACTGTACACAAACATCATCCTCTGATCGAATGAAACCTCAGACCATTCATAACAAAACACCGAAATCGCTTTTTTCGAATGATAGCTGCAACCGGATGACGGTTGTTTTGAAATCAGATGATTTTCCTCTCGAATACAGGATGAAACTTGTTATGAGCAGGGATAGGGCCTTCAGTTGAAATGCGTAATGCTCTCTGCAGAGTGACTGTCATACTAAATGGAAATGCATATGGGTTTGGTTCAGCCCCATAACGCAAATCATTCAAAACGATGATGTAAATAATTCTATCGAACGTCATTTGCTGATCAGAGCTGACAAACGAGGTGGAAGTATATGCATCGCTATCAGAGCTGTTAATAGGTAAAGGATGAAAACCAATGTTTGGCTAATTCGTGGTGAAGGAGGTTTTCTCCACCACGAAAATTTTTTGTATGCATAATGGAATGGCTTGTAATGGCTATTCAGTATGGAATTGTAGACTATCAAAATATAAATTTAATTAAAAGCACTTGCATGTCACACTATTCTTAAATGTTTGTCCTCTGAGTGCCGTATGTTTTATAGCTAATTTTCAAACAAAAATCATCCTGTATTTGGATGACAGTCATATGGATGTTCATCATCTGACGACGAATTCAACCATAAGAAAATCATCCGAAATTCGAATGCATATTGTTAAAGGGCTCGAGCAATGCAATAATCATTCGAAGAATTGCGGATGTTTTGGTTCAGTGTAGTGTTAAGAATCGAAAATCTTTGACAGAGGTTTGTTTACACTTCTATAGAGAACAATTGGTGCAAGTTTGATCAAAGTAGTCGTTCGCGTTCAGAAATAACGTCAAATGGAACTCGAAAGAAGAAAACATATTGTGCACAAACATCTGGAAAATTCGGAGTGGTGTGGATAAAGTGCTGAAGATGCCGAAAACAACAGTTTGTCGACTGTTCAAAACCTACAAGGAAACCCTGAGTGTGGAAATGAATCAGCGGACCTACAAAAAACTGGAACCAGGGATTGTCAGCTGCGCAGCGTTGGCGTTGAGGTGCGTTAAAGCCAACCCCGGTCTTTCGATCCGAGATGTAGAAGGCACAACGTCAACTTTCAAACGGTGTGGAACATCCTTGCCAGGGAAGGATACAAGTCGACGTTTGATTCAGCTGAATTTTGCGTCTATTATGGCTCAATTTTATGTCAAAATTTACGCTCGTATGTTAGTCTCAGTGCACCTTAATTTACAATAATGTTTTGAGACTAGATGAGACTCACCCTATGTGGCTCAACCAAGACTCCCGGATATCTAGCTCAGTAACATGAGGCCTCTGAACTGTTTCACAGGGCCGGCATGCTACTTGGTAATTCGGAGGCGTACGCGGAACAAACTGTGCAGAAACTGTGGGATTTCTTAAGTGATAGTGAAATTAATTCGAAGCTAAAGTGTGGGTGGAAAAAGTCTAGAAGTTTATTAAAATGGAACTATGGTGTGGATGGTTTTATTGGGCTATTATGGGGTGTGTTCTATGGGTTTCTGCTTCCTTGGTACGTACCGGTGGTGTTTGCTGGACGATGGCGAGCGCTCGCTGGTGGTGATTATATTGAGCAGCTGTTGTTTGACCGCGATGGCGGTCCGTGGCTTGATCACTATGTCGACAATGTCGGATCGGTGTCTTCAACTGGTCTGGAAGATGGCGCCTGGTGACTGGAGCTGTGGCGGGTTTGAGGCTTGGGTTTGCGCGTTGCGATGGCGGTTTGCAACGAGGGAATATAGCAATCCCTGTGCAGCAACTGAAGTAGCCTTTTCGGTGTCAACGGCGTCTCCCTTCGTTGGCAAACATCAGCTGACCGTGACAAGGCCACCTTGGTCGAGCGGAGAAGGGTCTTCCTCATTAACAATTAGGACTACCGAGTCCGAGGATGCTCTCCTTTCTGGCAATTATTAAGCCGGAGAGTTGAAGGTCCTTGGCATTTAGACCAAGACAGTCGAGACTGACTTGGTTGAAAAGTGCCGATCGTGAGGATATCCGTGGAATAAACCAAAAAAAGGTCGTTCTCTGCACTTTGGTTCACTTTTGCACTCCATTCACGTCTTCTAGGCACAAACGCCGGTTTACTTCTGGGCAATGGTTGGCCATCCCAGCTATCAAAAGCCCTCCTTTTCCCATTCAGTTTTCAATTCGTTCCTTATTTCCTCCATTTTCCTTACTTGTAGCTTATCACTACCCATTCATATCATCTCCTTCGCATATTTTCACAGTTGATTATAACACCCTTTCGATCCTGTCACATCCAATTAAGCTTATAAACAAATATCATTTTCAAACTACCTACTAAGACAAATTTATACATTTTTCCATAACAGCAATTTTACCTACAATCCTACTGGTGGGCGTTGGCCAAATTTGGATTTTTCAGATGTAATCCTAAATAGGACCTAGATTTAATAATCAAGTAACCTCAAGTCCATGCTCTGTCACAATGTTTCATTGTGATTAATCAATACTCAAAGGGGTAAAATATAAAATTTGGGGTAAATTTGAAAGAAAGGGAACTTGGAATGTAGAGCGCACTGCGATTCTGAAACCTGGCCAAGTGAGTGGGGTATGGGTTTATTTGATTGAACGACATTTCCAATGTATATATTGATACATTCAAACCATTGCCATTTGAGATAAAACAAAGATAGGATGCGAAGGGCCCGCTTAGGAGAAGCGTAACCCATGTTATGGTTTCCATTTATTAAATAGTTCAGATAGGCTAGAAATGACAGGTTTATAGTGAGAGAATGTACCATATTGGGAAAGCATAATTTTCATAGGGTTCAGAGCGGCTGAGCTGTTCGTTTGTAGTTTGACCTTCCTTCAAAACCAATTTGGCTCTAGAACAATTTTAAACTTGTTCTGCATTATTCACATGTTGCAATTATTGAAAAGAGCTCTATATAACATAGCCACAGAGAACAGACGTTGAGGCTCCAAAATTTCTCTAAAAACTTGTGTAAAGATTCTTATTCGACTTAAGCGCCACTAACGGTGACTTCCCCACTTAAAAACCTTCTTTAACAACATGAAGGCGCTGGCGTTGCAAAACTTACATTAGACACTAAGTGTTCGTAGCGCCAAGTGGCAATTTTCAGCAGATAATTTATCGATACTAGCGCCAAATTGGTCGAAAGTGATAAATTTATAGAGGAAATCAGGAGATGCTAGCGCTACGTAACGGCAACGTTTCCACTTAACTTTACACAAGTTTCTGACCGAACTTGGACGTCTGGTATCTGTGAGATAGCTCAATACAATTAAATAGAAATGCCAAAATTTTACCGAGTAGTTTAGCTGTTCTGATTTCGGTACAGTTTGTTGAGGTCGGGTATAGTTTCTGAGTATGGATGCCCATTTTGAAATAACTCATTTTAGAACAGAGTAATAGGGAACTTTCTTTTGAGATCGTCTTTTCTTCAGACAATTCTCATTATTCATACTATATTAATCATGATTAGTCTTATAAAATGTTATATGTTTAAGCCCCGTT